GGGGCCAGGTAGTCTCGAGCGGGTGGGTGTGTGCTCTGCCCCCTTTCACCCGGCCGTGGGGGGCCGGGGGCCGGGGGCCCGGGGAGGCTCGGTGGGGCGGGGCGTTTGGCGCGGGGCCAGGCGCTGAGGGGGCGCGGCGAGGGTCCCGAATGGCGGCGGCCCACAAACACCCGGGCGCCGCCATTCGCGAATGTGGGGGCGCGGGCCGCGGCGGGGGAGGGCCGCGCGGGGGAGCCCAAGAGCGAGGGGGGGGGGAGGGGAGCGCGGGGCAGCCCGCGCGGGCCGCAGGCACACGCGCCGGGGGCAAGTGTCTGAGAAAAATACGTCCGACGCCGGCGCCGGGAGGTCGGGCGGCGGGGGGGGGGCCGGCAGCGTCTCCCTCCTCCGGGCCTTGGGGCGCATGTGTGTGTGAGTTTGGATGTTTGGGCGCCCGCAGAGGGGTGTCTAATCTGGAAGTATCTGTGCGCGCGGGGGACGTCGCCGGGGCGGGGAGATGCACAGGTGCGCGGCGTGGGCGCAAGGGGGGGACGGGGGCGGGAGAGAGGGAGGGAAACACACCATGAGCGGAGTGGGCAATTGTCGGGGGCCACCTGGTCCGCTTGGCGTCCAGGAAGATTCCCATGGTGAACGGGGGGGGGGTGGGGCAGCCGTTTTATGGGTCCCCGCCGCCCGTGCCAGCACCGGAGCTGGGTGCGGGGCGCGGGGGGGGGGGATGCGCCGTCTCACCATCAGGCCGAGGGCTGTCATCATCAGGCAACGGCCGGGGGCAGGTCAGCGGCAAGCCGGCCGGCGACGATGCTCGCGCGGGCCGAGAGGCAAGGGACCTGGTCGCGGCGGCAGGCGAGCGGCCGCCTCTCCCCGGCCTCGGTCCGGGCGGCCGGGCCCTCTCGGGCCGGGGGAGGGGGTGCAGCCCGGGACACGGCGGCCGCCGGCGGCGAAATCAGCCCGGCGCATTGCTGGCGCGGGTGGGCCTTTTCACGAGGGCCGATCATTTGAGCGGGCTGACACGGCCGCGGCCGCCGGCGCGCCGGGGGCGGACGACTAGCGTCGGCAGGCGGGTCCTCGCCCCCCCCCCCTGCGCCCTAACCACCGAGTGTGCCCGAGTGCCAGGGCGGGGGGGGGGGAGGGGGTGGGCGGACCTTCGGCGGAAGCTGGCGCCGGGGCGCGGGATATTGCGGGAATATTAAATCCCTCCTTGCACATCGAGCGGGGGCTCTTTGGGCCGGCGGCATGCGAAGGTGCCTCCCGGGAAAGCGGCTCGCGCCGCCTCGGCCGTGCTGATCCGAGGCGCGCCCCATAAATGCCCCGGGGGCTGGGAGCCGGGGGGGGGGGCTTCTGGGGCGCGGTCTGGCGCGGCGGCGGCGGCGGCAATGCCGGCGGTGCTGGCGGCGCTGTGCGCCGGGGCCGGGACACCGCGCGCGGGCGGGCGGGCGCGTGGGGGTTGCCCTTGACATCACACCTCAAGGCAGAGTGCCCTGTACGGCGCACGGCCAGCCGCTGGGCTGGAGGCGGACGGGTGCGCCCTCCGGGGCGGGGGGGAGCGTGCTGGTGGTCCCCCCGCGGCTAGGGGCCCGAGCCCCCGGAGGGCTCTCTCCGCGGGAAAAATACCGCCGGAGCGGGGACGCGCCTGCCCGGGCGCGGGCGCGCATGCGCGGGGCATGGTCGTGCGAGAGGGGCGTGAGCGTGGGGACGCCTCCGGGGCGGGTCGCGCCCCCTGCGGCCGGGGCCGGGCGGTTGTCGTCCGCCGGTCGGGGGCCACCCGGGGGCGGCGCGCGCGAGCGCCCTGCCGAGGCGCTACGCACCACCGGCCGCCCCCGGGCCGGGGAGCACGGGCGCAGGGAACACGGCGCGGGAGGGAAAGGTCCACAGCCGCCGCGGCCACCGGGCCGGGCATATCCCGCGCCCCGTTGGCGCTCAAGCGAAAAGGCCCGGGTGGCGGCCGGAGGAAACGTCCACGGGCCCCTGCGCTGGGGCTTTCTGTAGCAGGGTTCTCACGGATCCAGTCTTACGTCAAAGGAGTGAAGCTTTGACGGAAGCTATACCGGAAATCTTACTACTGGTTAGGGACCGCTCGGGCATGAAGGAGGGCGTACCGAACCAGAAGGGTGATGAGATTACTAGCGACGAGACAAGGTAACTCGACCTAGGGGGCGAGTTAGCGGGGCGAGCAAAATAGAAAGCAATTCGTGTAACAAAAGGGGTTCGAGAGGAAGCCTTAGAACAGATGTTCGCAGGCTGGGCTGAGACTCTGTCAGGTTGTCTTAGCATACAAGCGTATACTTCAACATCGTCAACATAGTCAACATCGTCATAGCTGCTAAGGTCTTCGCTCTCAGGAGGCTCCCGCAGGGAGTCCCCCTTTTGACCTTGGGTTGGTCGTGGGGTGGATCTGAGAACCCCGCGCGCACGCGTGTCTCCCTCCTTTCCTGGGCCACCGAACTGGCCCGGTACTCGGCGGCCATCTGGCTGTCGATC